ACCTCGGCCAGTGGGACCCTGAGGCTCTTTCTGAAACCAAGCTTGGGCAAGCGTCGATGTTCGGAATAGTCGGAGACACGGTATAAAGTCCAACGAAGACCGAACGGTGTCTATTTTGCCATACACGTTCATGTTGCGGTTCAAGTTTACGATCGCTTTGACGTTCGTTTCGCAAAGACAGCCAGCATGGGAAGCTTCCAACTCGACGACGTCCCACTGGACGAAATCCCGCGACCCAAGGTGGGCGAGGCTGGATATGCAGGCTTCAAGCCTCGCACCGAATGGTTGCGCAAGGGCTGGATACACCCCGACCACGACGACGCTCGGCCGCTTCCTTGCGACCTGCTCGTTGAGCATGACGTTGCCATTCCGATGCGGGACGGCATCGTGCTCTATGCCGACATCTACCGCACCCCCAGCACCGCTAGCGCCGAGAAGATGCCGGCGCTTCTCTGCTGGTCGCCCTTTGGCAAGAAGTTCAACGGCATTTCGTCTCTGGGCTACATGACGCCTTGGAACCTCGGCATCAAGCCAGGCACTCTCTCGGGCTTGGAAAAATTCGAGGCTCCGGACCCAGCCGAATGGTGTCCGAATGGATACGCCATCGTCAACATCGACTCGCGAGGTTCTGGAGACAGCGGAGGAACCATGGTCATCATGGGCAATCAAGAGGCTGAGGATGGCTACGATGCCATCGAGCACATCGCTCAGCTGCCGTGGTGCACAGGAAGCGTCGGACTGGCAGGCAACTCCCACCTTGCTATCGTTCAGTGGTTCATTGCTGCGCTCCGTCCGCCCAGTCTCAAGGCCATCGCACCATGGGAGGGCTGCGGCGATCTGTACCGCGAGCAGTTTGCTCGCGGCGGGATCTACTCCGGCGACCTTTTCGACAAGCTGATCGTCAAGCACATGCTCAAAGGCGGCATTGGCGTCGAAAGTTTCCGACAGATGTTCGAGCGCCATCCGCTAGCAAACGACTGGTGGAACGACAAGCGACCAGACATGTCCAAGATTAAGGTGCCAACCTACATCACTGGCACTTGGACCAATACCATGCACGGCATGGGTGCCATCCGAGGTTGGCTCCAGGTGGATACCGAGCAAAAGTGGCTCCGTTGGCATCCATGGCAAGAATGGTTCGACCTCTGGGGAAATCCTCAGGCAAGCAAGGAGCTCTTGCAGTTCTTCGATTACTTCCTCAAAGACAAGACAGACAACGGGTGGGAGAGCGTGCCACGCGTACGAATGGCTCTGCTTCGATTTGGCAAAAAAGAGCCACAGGCGTACGAGAACATTGTCGAGGACGACTTTCCGCCAAAGCGAACGCAGTACCGGCAGCTTTTCTTTGGCTCTGACGCAAAGCTGGTTGAAGAGGCGCCGCAATCCGAGGCCAGGATCAGCTACAAGTCTGAAGAGCAATCGGGACACGTAAGCTTTGTGCACACCTTTTCGACGACAACCAACATCATGGGGTTGCCAAAAGCTGTCGTGTACATGTCCTGTCCAGATCACAACGACATGGACGTCTATGTGACCATCGAGAAGCTCGATGTGTGCGGACAGCAGATGAAGAATCTCAACATTCCCTGGAGCGGGATTCCGGTCGAATCGTTCGAAGAGATGAAGCCGCAGGAGCAGACTGAGGTGGCTATCTACAAGGGACCCATGGGAGTGTTGCGCGCATCGCTACGCTCGATCGACGAGTCCAAGAGCATGCACCCGCACTGGCCCTTCCATCCTCACGATCGCGAAATGAAGGTGGTACCAGGCGAGGTCGTCCGTCTCGATATCGGAATCTGGGCACTCGGCGTCGAGTTCGAAGCCGGCGAAAGCATCCGCGTCATCGTTAGCGGTCAGAACCGCACCGTCAGCAATTTTGGATCTGGGGCGCACGTCCAGAACAAGGGCGTGCACAACGTCCATCTTGGCGGACAGTATGCCAGTCATGTAATCATGCCCTTTGTGTAGAGCGGCAAGAGAAGTCTCTTTCATCGTCCGCACGTGCTTTGAGTGGATTGAGGCTTGTCGGCCTCGACGGAACGGATCGTGGTAATAAGTTTCGAAGCTTCGTGGTTATTGCGATTCTTGCGTAAAGAGAGGGTCGAAAATGCTCATGTCCCAATCCCAGCCAAGCTCGCTCCAGTTTGAGGCGAGCAGAGGATCGCTGTACGGCTGTGCGGCTGGCGCAGGACTCATGGCGTGGTCTGGATCGACCAGGGAATTGACGGCGGCTAACGTGCATGCGAGCTGAGAGTCGATGGGATTCGAGGCGACAAGGGCCTGGCTCGCGCTTTCAATCAGCTTGATGTCGGACGCCGCAAGACGAGATGATGGCTGTGTCGCAATGAAGAGGGCCAAAACGAGAATGGCACTCAGATGGGCACCGACGTCTTCGAGCTCCAAACGCAGCATGCGGCGGGCCGCGTTGGCCGCTATGGTGGCGCCGTTACGGATGATGCCCTTCCAGGCTGCATCGCTTGCCACAAGCTCGACCGCGATCTCACGGGCTTCGGCGTTGATCAAGAGGCTGTTGCGGGTCAGCAGGAGCAAAGCCGAGTAGTAGTGTGCCGAGATGTATCGACACGGCCACTCTTGTCCGCTGTCAGAAAGGAGATCGTTGGTTGGTCGCAGCCCGAACGGCACCTGGTCTGCCCAACGCAGCAGGGATTGGCACGACTCGCCTGTGGTGCGAACCTTGTTGAGGATGACATCGGCCACAGTATCGACGTCGCTCTCTTTCTCCTCGAGCTGGCTCACCGCTAAGCATCGTCGCCCGACGTCAGACAGAAGGCGTGCAAGATTCGTGATGACGCCAGAAGGGTGATCGTGGCAGATCTCGCCGAGCCGTTCGTCGTGACGCTCGTCGATATTGGAGGGCCTTCCCAGCTCAAACGCCATGAGCTTGTCGAGCGTGTACAGCGTATTCCAGGTCCTCGCATCGATTTCAATCGAAAGTGCTGCGCGAACTGCCATGCCGAGGACGTGCCAGGCGCTCATCACCTCATCCGTCTGCTTCAGAGCAACCGAAAGCAGCGCAACCGCCTTGACGGCAGAGGGGCTTTGCAGACCAGCGACATGCCCGAGCATCGACTTGGCATACGTGATCAGAGGCTGCGCAGATATCGACTTGCCTTCGGCGCCGACAGCAACAGCCAGGTAGATCTGCATGAGGGTCAGCCCGCCTCGCCGAGCGCAGAAGTTGCCAGGTGATAGACTCAGCACTTCTTCGGCATCGCTACAAAGTGCCTCGGCATCGAGAAGGGGGAAAAGGGTGTTGTTCCCGATGATGAAATGGTTCAGCATCATCTGCCAGTCGCTCGGAAGTGACGGCATGGTCGAGACGCTGGGCAGAAAGGGATCGGGACTTGCGGCTACCGTGGCGTATGTGAGGCGGCTGCTGCGACCGAGTCGACCGAGTCCGACACGCAGCCACTCGGTGTGGATTTCGACAGAAGTGGAGCCTCTTGCAGCGCGCACGAGTGGCAAACGTCCTCGAAAGGCGCCGAGGCTTTGATCTGCCTGCTGTGCATGCTGGCGCAAGGTCTTGCGTGCCTTGCCCTGCTCTGGTACAGCCATCGATGGTTTAGCGTTGGGTCGGATCCCGGACTTTCCGGCCTGCCCTCGTGTTACATCTCTGTCCGGATGCCGATTGTTGATGGTGATGCACGGAATGCCGGCCTGAGTACAGGCACGGCACGACGGCTTACCCTCATCGCAGCGTGTCTTGCGGGAGCGGCAGAAAGTACAGGCAAAGTTGAGCCTCCGTCGCTTCTCTGATGTTGTGCCTGGGCTCATTCGCCGCTATGGCCTCCGAGCGATGCCCTTTGGGGAAGGGTGATCTGGAGGCAAGAGAGGCGTTGTGGACGAGGTGGGGTGCGAGTTCGGTACGGCAACTGTATTTATGGTCGCACGCAGCTCAGCTCGGTGCCACGCGAGTTGGCGACGGAAAGCCCAGTTGCCGACTTGTGTTAGGACCGGCCAGCAGCACAAGTGGGGTAGCCGTCGAAAAATTGCGGGGTATACACATGACTCCCGGCTCGGCATCTCTGCTGGGACAGGTTGCGTCGAGTTGCCGAGCCGATGCAGGCCCAGCAGGGCTGCGTGTAGCCAGTTCCTGGATCGCTTCTCCAACGAGCAGGCCCGCGTCAACCACAACCCATTCAATCAATGTGGCGCTTGTCTTTCGTTCCGCCCGCTCTCCACCATGCCTACCAGCAGCATCTGCCATCTGTGGCACTTGCGCGCTTGCGGGGTCTCCGCACCGACGCTGCGCTGGCTCGAACGAGTTGAGATGCCCGGAGCGCTTCAGAAGCGTCGCTGCGGCCGAACCTCTCGGCATTACAAATATGCAGGCTCTGTCTACTGTCCAGCCCTTGTCAGGCCCAAGTCTCCAAGTCAGCATCACTGCTTCACAAGCCATGACTTTGATCAAGAAAGAAGGACCATCTCAGATGGATGTGGTCACGGCCACCGCCTCCGTGTCTGACCAAGACTCGACCAAGGACGTCAGCCCGGCGACCAAAGACAGCCACACGTCGCCCGCAGACCCTACCGAGGCCGGGCTTCGACTCTACGACCATGGTGGCATGGTGTTGGTCCCGACGCCAACTTCAGACCCCAAGGATCCGCTCAATCTGGCCGTATGGCACAAGTGCATGATCATCTTCCTCGTCGGTTCCTATTCGGCCTTTTCCGTCCTCGGCACGTCGGGTCTCAGTGCCGTCTACCCGAGCCTGATCCAGGCGTATCCGAACGAGTCGCCCGCCCGCATATCCGACCTGCTGACCTACCCAACGCTGTTTATGGGCATCGGCAACCTCTTCTCCATGCCGCTCTGTGTCACCGTCGGACGTAGGCCCGTCTTCCTCTTCTCACTCCTTATGCTCATCGTCACCGGCTTCTGGTGCGCTTTCTCCGACTCTCTCGGAAGCCACGTCGCCGGAAGGAGCTTCTTCAGTATGGCAGCAGGCCAATCGGAGGCGCTCGCCCCGTACATCGTCGAGGAGGTTCACTTCCTTCACGAACGCAGCACCAAGCTCTCGTGGTTCATTGGCGTTCAGACCGTGGGCACCGCAGCCATGTTTGTCGCCACGACCTACATTGTGCCGAGCATGGGCATCAAGTGGTGGTACCTCATCATCACTTTCGTCAACGTTGCCCTGCTCCTTCTCTCCTACCTCTTCGTCGTCGAGACCAAGTACGAGCGTGTCGAGGCCACGGACGGCGCTATCGTCCATCTCAACTTTGCCGAAGCCGATGACAGCCGTGACAGCGAAAGTGGCGCCGTTCGCAACGGTCTCAGACTCCGTCCCGACATCCATGGGCCTCGTACCTGGCAGCACGACCTGCGTCTCTTCCATTTCAAGCCCGTCTGGAGCGAGACCTTCACCTTCTACAAGGACACGTTCAAAAGTCTCGCTATCCCCTCCATCCTCTGGCTGCTTTTGCTCAACGGCGCCTTTCTGGGTATCTACGTCTACCAGGCTTCCACCTTTGCTCAAGTCCTCATGAGCCCGCCATACCTGTTCAAGTTCGCCTATTTGGGATGGGTGCAGCTGGTTCAGATTCTCGACTGCGTCCTTCTCGTTCCTGTCCTCGGATACGGCACCGACCTGCTAGCCAAGGTCATGTGCCGCTGGCGCAAAGGAGTCTTCCAGCCCGAATACCGCCTCATCTCCATGTCGATCCCTGGTATTGCCGCGGTCATCGGCTGCGTTATCTACGGCCAGGCCGCTGCTCACCCTACCCAGTGGTCGTGGATGGGAGTCGTTGCTCCTTACCACCTCGGCTACTTTGCCTTTCTCGGTGCCAATCTGGTCAGCATCACCTACGCCATCGACAGCTTCCCACGAAAAGCCGGGCCCGTCTTGCTCGTCATCTGCGCCGGACGCGGCTTCATCTCGTTTGGCCTCAGCTACTCGACCGTGCCGCTCATCTCCAAGACCGGCTACGACGGCGCCATGAACATCTTTGCCATCATCTCTGGCGTGCTTGCTGGCATCGCCGTCCCCATGTATTTTCTCGGCACTAGGTTCCGACTCTGGGCGATGCAGCGCCTTTGGCCCAAGCTCAATCAGTAGTGCCCTTTCACAAGTAGTGCGACAGGGAAATGAAGGGACGTGCTGCAAAAAATGCGGACTGTGATAGCTAGCTGAGTATTGCGGACTGTCGTTATCAGAATGGTGGCTTTGCCAAAGGCATGGTTCGCTCTTCAGCCTAGATCGGGCAGATCATATGTCATGCCCCATTACAGTTCGCTTCCTTGGTGCTCACTCCTGCCATCCATTTCAGGACGGCAGCAACAGCAAGCAAAGGGTTGAATTGAGACCCGCTACCGACCCCCGTGTCAGAATGGTACGGGAAATTACGATGTTTGCTGACCGTGTGTCCGATGTCAGGTCAGATCTCGGTTTTATCTTTGAGCAGCAGCACGCATCCGTCATCTCTCCGAGGACGCTGTCAAACAACTTGTCGTTCTTCCGTAAGCCCTCAAGCTTCAACTGTCATCGACTCGAATTGCAAATGCAAGAGGTGAAGAACGCTACCACAGAATAATTAGATCAGTGGTCAGAGGCGCCCAAAACCCGCTTGCGACACCTTTGCTGCACGCCTGCGATAAGCATGGGTTATTCACTCCCGTACAGGAGGCCCGTACAGGAGGCCAAGCTGAAGCTAATGTGCCGTCCGGCCAGACAGAATCTTGGTACCACGGCAAGCTGGGAGAAGTGTGGCCGTCCTGGCCGTCGTCTACAAGCCCCGATGCTCTCGTTGTTACAAACACACGATTTGGGGGCGTGGTTGTTCCCCTGAATCACGCCGCTCCTCCAGATAGTACAACTGCCCAGGGTACCCCAGCATTGATGGATGATTGGCAGCGCGTACGCGTACGAAGCGGTTTCGCGAATGCTGAAGCAGGTTGCAGCCAGCCTGGCCCTCTTCGCCACTATGGCGCACGAATGCTGAATGCCGTAGACTCGGCCTGCTTCGTCCCAATCGTTACAAAATTCGTCCGTCATCGCCCAGTAGAGCGAGTCGCAATCCCTCAGAAGAGCGCCATGATTGTTGTGGCATACGGCAGTAGCAGCCCCTTGGGGTAGCGGCGGAAGATCGAAGCAGTCTTGTATGTCCATATCTCCCACGTCTCGCGTCTTGAGGTCAGCAGCCTCGCGATTCTGCGCGGATGCTACGGCATCCAATTCGACCCTTGCGGCTCCTTCCACCATGAGAATTCTGTAATGGTTCTGCTCGACCGACTCTCTGCTGAGATTCAGCTTCGTAGTGAGGTAGCTCGGAATCCCATGCCGCATCCATATGAAGTCGACGTGCGGTCCCGTGCCATTTGCGTTGGCCAAGTCGGCGTAGATTTTCGTTTCTTCGGGTACCTCGTGACCCGCTTTGCTGAGGGGCACATAGCCGTGCAGACCGAATACTGCAGGGGGCGGCAGGATGCCGTTGAAGAGAGCGTGATTATGCTTGACGTTGCTATCGGCAGATGCCACGGCTAGCACCACCATGTAGAGGAGTGTGGCCATGATGTAGAGCAGCAGCACGTACCGGGCGATCTTATGCAGCAAGCCTGTAGGACATTTGAGAAGACTATTCCTGAGTATCGAGCGCACAGTGGAGCGACGAGGGTTGGTATTTGTGGCTGCCGGTCACAGGGTGACCCGCACATCTGCGCATACGAACTGCTCTGGTACGAGTCAAACGATGCGACTGGAAGCCACATGGAGCTTCTACGATCGCCCTCGCTGGTCTCTAGAGCAGCCAATTTCACATTCGACATCGATCATAAATCTGCTGCATTGTCGGTTCATACTTTAGGCTTTCAAATTCGGGCCGCCATGATCTGACGGCCATCTTATGCTATCGAGGGTCGCGTTTGTCGAAGAGGCATGCGAAAGTGTGGCGCCTGCACAGAGTAAGGAACATCGGTCCGTATAATGAGGGATGGTACTGTACGATCGCCGGTATTTAGTGATGAAGGTGTCGGGTGAGGCAGTATTGCAGCTATGATACGGTACAACGCGAATGAGTGGGTGTGGTTCGGCGACCAAGCATCTTCTGGGTACAACATGGGAGCCTCCGGCCGTTGACAGCTGTTAGGGATGTCATGCTGCCGTCACATGAAGCGTCCCACATCGATGGCGTGCTCAAGTACTCAAATGAAACGGCTTCGAGCGCGATCTGCCGAAACTCATGATGTCCGCTTCCTTTTGAGTGACTTCTTCAGTGGACCCCCTTTCGTACAGAAAGGCCGCAGGTTTCAACGGACGAAAGACTGCTGCATTCACGAGATATTACTTCTCACAGCAAGGGACGCGCGGGAAAGCACCTAACAAAACGAACAGCAGCCAAGAGTTCGAAGAGTAGTAAGGCAAACAGCCGGCTCGGACCGAATTCGTCACGAGAGCTGCGAGGGTCAGAGCTCGCCCATTCGAGTGCAGCAGCCTATTCCCGCAGACAGGCTCGCCTTGGTCGCAATCTCTCTGACCAGCCCACCGTAGGCAAGCAGCTCGCTGCCTGCATTTTGACGATGACTTGAAGGGCAAGCAGATGGAGAAAGTTGTGCTGAGTAATGGACAAATGTAAGGTACAGTATTACGTAGTTGCCCAAGGTGTACGGTACACGGAGGTCACAGTAAGAGACTCTTCCATTCCCAGATCCAATGTCTATGTAGGTGAGACAAAACTGGCCGTTGTGTCCGAGTACGTCGGCTACAGCTGCAGGCAGGAATCCGAACCGTAAGGCGCTGGGTGGAGTTTGACAGAGCTCCTGCGCCTTATCCTGCTAGCAATGAACGGCACATGCGAATCTACCCGCTCACCTGCACGCTGACCGAGCCTTGCCCGGCAAAAGCCTCGGTGGCGAAGACTTGATAGTTGAAATCTGGGTTGGTGGCGCCGTTGGCGAAGCCGTACTTCTTCCAGGCGTTGAAGTGGTTGGCAAGCGTGACACTGCCCGAGCTGCGCTTGCTCTGGCGAACGGAGAAGTACTGGCCGAAGGTCTTGGTACCTTGAATCGAAGGCTGGTTGACCTGCGTGTGCTTGCAGATTTTGTAGCTCGATCCGTCCGAGGTGACGGTGCCCACTTGCTGAGTGTTGCTGGCGGTGCAGGGGTCGTAGCTGTAGTTCTCGACGACGTAGTACTCGGTCAAAGGATTGTTGAGCCAGCCATAGACAGCGTAGTACGAGCCTTGGTTGCTCTGGTAGCTGCCGCCGAAGTTGATGGTGCGGGACGATGTGCCCTGGCTCCAGCCCAGGCCAATGACAAAATCACCGGGATTGTTCCAGCTGCCGGAGTAGGTGCCAGTACCTTGATTGTACTGGAAGTTGGCCAGATTCCCATTATAGTTTTGGACGTAGTTGATGGACTGGCGCTTGACGAGGCTGCCAGCGTCCTTGTTGGCTTCGAGGGCAGGTACGATCGGGCTGGAAACAGCGACACCTGCAACACTGGCGAAAGCGAGAAGAGTGGAAGGCTTCATAATGAAAGATGGGGAGGGGGATGGCTGCCGGCGCGTGCGTTCGTATGTGTGCTTAGATCAACGAGCTCGGTAGAACGGAAGGTTCTGATTCAACAACCGGATCGAGGTCTACTTATAGCTATGTGGTTGGAGCCCCTCCTCCCACGGTAGCTGACATTCATCTTCGTTGTGGAAGACGAGGCCAAAGAGAATGGGTCAGATGTTGAGCGTGGAGTTGAAGCTGGCCGTTGCCGGTGACAGTGCAAGCAAGGAATAGTTCTGATGCTCCATCGCGTAATGTATTTCGAGCCGAGAACATCGCCGGTGCATGTAGGGAGCCACGCGCAGGCGAGCACGAAGCAACAGGTGGCGATGCAAGACTGTTGCCTTGAACAAAGCAGTTGCATATCGCCTGCAGGTTGCGCACTCTTGTCTACGCCATTGGTCCTGCGGGGATTTGGCTAGTACGGCCATCAATCGCCAGCAGATGTGATACGCCTGTTCGAGATGACACCCTTGGGTTCCAGAGTGCCGCATGGGATGACTGGTTTTGCGGGGTAGGGTCACCGGTGTCAAGGGGTGCTTCATGCTCGCCCAGGAGGCTCCCCTGTGTCGGCTTGGGCTAGCGCTCTACTGTTCTGCGGGATTGGGCGTGAGATTGCCGAGCGAACTAGTCGCCGGCTCGCATGGCTTCCATTTTGCGGGGTCGGAGCGGTTCGCTTCTAGAAGCCGGCATTCTCGGTCTTCCCGCTCCTTGACGGCAATGCAAACGCAATTTCCTAATGCTGGTTGGCATGTCAACCCATCGCCAGCGGCATAATGTGGTCAGATCGAGACAACTCTGCAGCCACAAGCCGCTTCCTAGTTGGCGTTCAAACGAGCCTTAGCCCGCGCTTGAAGGCGTGCGTAGGCCGTGCTAGACAGCCGAGTCGGATGATTGAAGGCCAGCAGCAATTTCAGGCTCGGCTAGCCGCCGTTGTGCTTGATGCAGGGCTTGATGAATATTTTCAATCGGCGCTAGCCCCATTGGGAAGGAAGAGTCTAGCGAAGCCGCCGGTGGATTGGGGTCCGGCGAGTCGTCACTGCACACCGGTCCGGTATATACGGACCGGCGAAGTGGACGTCGCTTCCCGCGCAACGCTCGTCGAGGTAGCGAAACAATCGCAACAGCGGCGACGACCCGAGCAAGAGCGACGCGGACGTTTATGTCCACAGTATCGCAGCGATTCCGTCTTGTCTCGTGCGGCTGCGCTGCCATCGGTCGCTGGTGGGGTGAAAAGGCTTCTCGAGGCCCCGCGTTCCTGCGTACTGTCTACCTTCTACAGGGTTGCTCGCGACGGCCCTCCGTGAGGGAGGAGCATCGCAAGGTAAGGAGGGACAACGTATTGAAGAAAGTCAAAAAGCGAGACCGCAACGTCGACATTGAAGTCAACAATGGCAGCGATAGCAACAACGGCCATGTAATGAGCCACGACGTAAACGACCGCAAATCCACCGCAGATCCAGCGCGTTGAGATCCACGTTACCACGTTGATGGCGGCTTCCGCCCAGGCGCGTGCCGGGAACACCAACCATGACTACTCGCCTTGCTGCTGCCCGTGTTGTCCTGCCTCTTGCGCGCAGGGCTCACATTACGCATGTGCGGCTAGTGCTGCTTCGCACGGCGCCAGCTCATTGTCATTCTGTCCGGGTACATGGACTCACCAAGCGCATGGTCTGATCACACAGCCCGCCACGTCCATGCTGTCCAGACCATACGTGTCGGTTTGACAACCAGCCTGGCAAGAATGATGACATCAACGAGCGCGGCAACGACTCGGAAGCATGTGGCAAGGAATGGCAGTAGCCTGAAGAAGCAAAAAGCATGCGGCGAGACCGCTTTTTAGCAGATGATAGTGAAGGACCGCGGCTGTCAACTATACACGCAAGGCGCTCAGTGAGGCCGAGCCTTCGGAACGGCATGTCGCTGATGGGGGCGGTGCGTGTGGAAGCAGTGAGGTGGATCGTGCAAAGATCGATTCGGCACAGTCGTGTACCGGAGCGGTCGGCTTTCGGAATCGAGACTTTGCGACTCATCTCCTGTCCCGACCTCGCCGTCGTTTCACCACGAGTCTTGCCGTGTGAGGATCATGTGGCTGGCTGAGTGACACGCGCGGGAATTTCATGCACCTTCCACGTGGGTCAAAAGACTTGGTCGCGACCGCGTGCTTAACCAGCGTGGCCTGGCTCACCGCCGTCACCGCCGGCACCGCCACACGATGGAAGGCGGACCCTGTCTCACTGTAACATCCGCCAGCTATTGCCGCCTCGCAAGATGCCTCCTACCTCTCCCGCCTCGTGAAAAGATGCTTCAGGCGCGCGGTCTGGTCCGGCAAGCGCGACGGTCGACCCTTTCTTCTTCATTCCGCAAGAGCTGCGAAGCGCGACAGCGCGCATGCGAGACTATCATGATAAAAGGCCGCTGCTGCCTCGAAGCTCGCAGTGTTTGTCGGGCTGATAAGACCACAAAGCATAAATATCGGCCAAAGAGCCTTATCAAGACCTCCCATCGACTTCAACCTCAGAGTTGGAAGGTTCATTCTAGACCTTACACAGAATCACGATGCTGTTCCTAGTAGCTCAAACTTTCCTGGTCATCGTGCTCGTTCGAGCTCGATTGACTGGAGCCGCAAACGCTACTCTCGCCGAACTCTGCAAGGCCGACAATCTGCGCAATGCTCTTCCAACAAACGGCACGCTGCTCGGCATCAACTTTCTTCCCGAAAGCCTCACTGCGCAACTCACCAACACGTCCGTCGGCTCTGGCACAGCGGCGGGACCCAGCGTGTCTGTCGCTTCCAACATCTACAGCTTCTGCAACCTTACGGTCAACTACGTCCATGCCGGCGCTGAAGATCGCACCATCCGGCTTCGATTCGCTCTCCCAGCACCTTCAGAGTACAAAAGCCGCTTCTATGTGGGCGGGGGAGGTGGCTACAGCCTTTCGAGCGATGCAACGGGAGGTCTCGCCTACGGGGCTGCGTCGGGGGCCACAGATGCTGGTTACGACGCATTCGACAAATCACTCGATCAGGCAGTACTACTGGCCAACGGAACGCTGGACTGGGACTCAGTGCGCATGTTCTCGTATCAGGCTCTTGGCGAGATGACTCTGATTGCCAAGCAGATACTTCCTTCTCTGTACGGCAGCGACACGGACTCAAGCAAAGTCTGGACCTACTTCTCCGGATGCTCGGACGGCGGTCGGCAGGCCATGAGCCAGGTACAGCGCTGGGGTGATCTGTACGACGGCGTCGTCGCTGGTGCCCCCGCTTTCCGACAAGGCCAGCAGCAGATACTTCACCTGAATCCCGCGGCGATCGAGCAACAACGCGGCTATTTTCCCCCGCCTTGCGCGCTTCAGAAGATTGTCAATGCGACTATTGAAGCCTGCGATCCGCTCGATGGCCGCACGGACGGCGTCATCTCGAGAACCGACCTCTGCATGAGCAGGTTCAACCTGAATTCGACCGTAGGCAAGGCCTACTACTGTGCTGCCGAGACTTCCACATCTTTGGGCTTCGGATTTGGCCGCCGACAGCTGGCCGCGGGCAGTCAGACAAACAGCCTTCCGGAGCAGAACGGCACAGTGACAGTGGACGACGTCATGATCGCCCGCGCCGTATACGAAGGTGTCTTCACCTCAAGTGGCAAGAGGGCCTATCTTTCCTGGCAGATTGGGTCCGATCTCGGAGACGCGGAGCCCACATATGACAACGCGACCTCGTCCTGGGTGCTGAACATCCCGAGCACCGGTGGCGTCTTCGTGCGCAAGTTCCTCGAGCGTCTCGAACTGGACAATCTCGATGACGAGGCATTTGCGAGTATCACCAACGATCAGCTCGTTGCATGGATGGACAAGGGCACCCGCGAATACTATGACACGCTCCAGACGACTTGGCCGGATCTCTCCACCTTTGCAAATCACGGCGGAAAGTTGATCCACTACCACGGTGAGTCCGACAACAGCGTTCCTGCTGCCTCGTCGGTCCATTACCGTCAGTCTGTTGCAAGCTCGATGCATGCAGACCTGGCATCTGCTCAGCAAGAGGAGCGCCTAGATGAATGGTATCGACTCTTCCTCGTTCCTGGTGGAGCCCATTGCAGCGCCAACTCGTTGCAGCCCAATGGACCATTCCCACAGGCAGCAAGCCTGATGCAGCAGATCATCGACTGGGTCGAGCGCGACATCGCACCGGCCGGACTCAACGCGACTGTCACCCAGGGAGGTTCGGATGAGGGCAAGTCTGTCAGCCTCTGCCGATGGCCGTACCGCCCAGTGTGGTCAAGCGAGAACGCCACTGACATTAACGCGATGGGATGCGAGATGCCGGACACCGAGGCCCGCGAGTCGTGGACCTATGCCTTTGAAGCTTTTGGGTATGCTGTCTATTAACGCTTTCTGCGGTACAATGCTCGGGAGGTTCAGGCGCTAGCCTTTCAGTCGTCACAATCAACCACTCGAAGGCTGCTCGAATAGCAATACCTGGAAAACTCTCCGCTTCTCCGTGCCAATCAGCTATCAAATCTGGCCATGTCAGCAAATACTTTGATTGAATTTGCCCACGATTAGTTCTCGCAAGACTTCTAATACTGAAGGACTATGATGTATATTGCTTTGAAGTACCAGCTGTTCGACGACCCAAGTCGTCTCATTGGAGTCGTCTAAAGATTGTGTCTTCGCCCGCATTGAGCTTGCGAGTCAAACTTGCGTATCGACATACTGACACTAGCCCTAGGCGGCGGCGCATCGGTTGGTGGCGACGGGCGATTCCTTCCTGCCAAACGGTGGGCGGCTCCAGCTGTCCGTCGGTCCAAAGGACAGGCAAATTTACACTGCTCCAGTGCCGCGACGGACAATGTCAATTTTTGGGTGGAGGGACGGGCGATGGGCAAGGGACGCGTCAAAATTGCAAGGAAATTGGCTGGGCGACGGACAAAGTGGAGGACAGGTCCAGTGCCCAACAGACAAATCCAACTTTGACACTGGTGCCGTGCCCAAGGTACACACAGCTTCCCGTCAGTCTGTCGGTCCGTCACTTGCCCATCAGTCACTTGCCAGGCAATCCACAATTTTCACCGCCTGTCAGACCACCTTCCCGTCCACAATTTTGTCAGTGCGTCAGCTTCTCACTGCGTCAACTTTTCTGCCCATTGGCTAGCTCCCCTTCTTTTCAACCGCGCCGGACTGAATCCCTTTCAACTGCGCCGGACTGAATCCCTTTGTCTGCCATCGCACAATGCTTTGCCAACACCATCTCCCTTTGTCTCTGAGTAGCGCGCGGA